GTGTAAAATGTTTGCACCTGGCTATAAAGCAAGTCATGTTCCTGGGCTGAAGAAACTCAAGGAGGCTAGTTGCTAGGGAGAGGAAACCGGGTGTTGCTAATGTGACGTCATTACCCGGCGCCCACAGCGACCGTTTCCAGGCTGGGCCCGGCTGGGCTGTAGGCCGCATTTTGTGCCATGGGATCTCGGCAGTGTTGGCTGTGATTTGGTGGGCAGTCACTCTGGGGTTGGTGGCAGGACCTATGTCCCACTTGGGGGAAGCCGAGTGTCGCTTTGTTGGTGCCAGGTCCATGGTACCGCTTTTCTGTAAATGGCCAGTGTGGGTCATGGCAGCTCCTGTGTCTGCCCCCTGGTGGTCAGTGCGCACCATAGCAACTGGTCGGACATTCAGACACATTTAGCATCTTAGCCTTTTATATATATAGATAGCAGGTGTGTGTGGGGGGTGAAATAGTTTACAAAGTGTACTGATAAGTAAATGGCTAAATTATAGTATTTATACTTTGAAACATTGTACTTTACACCTAAGGAAGAAAGAAATAGCTCTCTTCATGAACTAATGGGTAGACCTGTAGGATAAAAGGAACTTTTAGAACAAACAGAACATGATACCATTTGTGGGTTTAAAGAAAAACACGCAAAACATGTTATGGGTTTGTATGTCTAAGTGTATAGAAAAATAGTGGGGTGATTATATTCCAAACAGGTAATTGTGTTCCACTCTAGGGAGTGAGACCAGGATTGAGAGATTGTTCAAAGAGGCCTTTAAAAAATATTTTTTTCCCTCCTGTAGAATGTATTACTGTGTTATGAAATTAAACACGTAAGAAAGAGTTGCTATAATTTCAGAGAGCTATCATTTCTGATCTTCATCCACCTGGCAGATATTGTGATACTTAAATTTTATTTCTCAGGTATTTTAAACAAAATGTCCAAGATCATAATATTTAAAACTCTTGGTTACCCTTTGATGATATGGCTATCATTGATTAGGAGCCTAAGGTTAAGGCAGGGCCTTAGTTAGTGGCCGGGACTGGGATTAGAACCTGGGCTGTTCTTGAGGGCTACACGACCATGATGCTCTGAAGAGCATATTTAAGAAGAGAGCTGCTATACAAAGGAATACAGCAGAATATCAACCACGTTATATGTGAAATAAAGATTGTGTTTTCACATACTAGTTTTGCTGAAGGTATTTGAGCAAGAGCAGTTGGATGGTCCTAGAAATAGAACAGCTCTGGCTGGCGGGGGAAGGGCCTGCTAGTGGGAGAGTGAATAGGCTTCTTCCCCGGGTAGTGATCAGGGCAGCGGGTAGACCTGATTTGTGGGAAACGTTCAACCTAAGGTCAAAGGATGGGAGTATCAGGAAAAAGCTGGCATCTTCATTCGGGATTTGTTGATGTGTGTGTTTGGATTCCAACTGAATATTCCCAAGTCTTAGACATCTGCTGACTGGAACATAAAAGCTGACCTGATTCCATTTTATAGCTTTTCCTTGGAGTGTTTTCATCTACATAAAACCAAGTCATGACAGACCAAACCTAGTCCTTGAGAGTCAGCTGATGTGGAAAAGTCTTTTACTGTGGGAATAGATTCTGCCAGACCTTCTAGTGTTATTGTAAACGCAAAACATTTCTCTACTGATCACTGGTATGAATAATAGGCCTTGTTCTTGGCTTTTTGAGAATATGGCAGAGTTGATATTGGGTCAAAGTTTGCTTTTTGAGTTGAGATTGGTAATTATCCATACCTGATTCAGGGTTCATCTCTTCACTCTTGTTAAGACACTAGCTCTTTGGAACTTGACTCATATAATCAGGTGTCTGGTTCCCTTTCAGACTTTCTGCTGACCCCTGTGTCACCCACAGCGAGCCAGGGCAGTCCTTCACTCTGCATCGGGAGCCTGGAGGAAGACTCTCCCTTCCCTTCGTTTGCCCAGGTAAATCCTGTGCTTGGGAAGCAGCCAAGGATATTTAACACAAACTCCACTGCTTGTTCTTTCTGGAAACCACTC